CCAATAGCTACATAAACACATTACATTTTGACATTGTTGATTGAGAATCGTATTTGTGGCTACTACTGTTTTACCAGTCGATCTGTCTGTCCCCAATAATTAATTATCGCTGACCACGTCCTATAGAGATCATCGAATCAATAATTATTTAAAAAATAAAATAATTTTGCTTATTTATAATAAAAAAATTGAAAAAATTAGAATGATTCAGTTCTTCGATTCTTGATCTAGAACCGAGAATCAAACCAAACTTGCAAGAAGAACCAAACGGATATAATGTTAGTTAGTTTGTTATTTGTTTTTATTCTAGATGAATACGATATTGAGATATTTTAGGCTCTCTTGAATTTGAAATCTTAAAAAGCGCTAGCAAGCGGCAAGAATTAGGGTTGTCAATGGGCCGAGCCCGACTCGCCAGCAGACGTCGTTTTCATTTTTTTTTTGTTGGGAACAAATAGGTAAATTGAAAAATAAAAAAGTAATTTTAATTTTTAAATCGTGAATTATATATAAAAAACTAGGTAAAAAATTTAAACCCTCCTCCTTTATCCGGGCTTGGGACTGGCTACTTAAATTTCAAGTAGGTGGAGTTAAAAATTGTGTTGTTTGTTTATTTGTTCGTGTACAATTTTTTAAAGAAAATTTAAAACAGTATTAAAAATTATTTTTTCAAGCAACGCTGCGCGTCCTATTACATATAATCTTCGAAGAAAATCTTTCTAAAAATTGAAAGGGTAATCGAATGCCCTTTCAATTGTCAGAAGTCTTCACTTCGAAAATTATATAGAAGTCTTTCACTTCGAAGATTATATATAATCTTCGAAGTGAAAGACTTTTGATAATTGAAAGGGCAATCATTCGATTACTCTTTTAATTTTCAGAAGGAATTTACTTCAAAAATTATATGCAGAGATACGCACAGCGTAGTTCGAGAAAAGAATTTAAAATGTAGATATAATAGTAGTAATAATACTAAGTACTAACAAAAAATTAACTAAATTGGTGGAAATGAATTTTTATTTTTATTTTTTTTAACTAAAAGAGATAGGAAAAAATAAAAATGAAATCTTTATTTTTTTTATTTTTCTTTTTAAAATAGATAAAATATAAACCCTCATCCTTTATCCGGATTTGAGACATGCTACTTAAATTTTTAGTAGGCGGAGTAAAAATTGTACACAAACAATTTTTTGTAGTGTGTACAATTTTTAAAAAAAAATTAAAAGTAATGATAAGAAAAGAAAAGTTTCGTCAATATAATTAAATCAAATATCACTTACTTGACGACATGCAATTTTGGCATATTTATCTTGTAGTTGAAAATGAGTGTCCTGTCAATCCTTAACGCACATTAATGCTTCTAAAATATCTTCTTTCAGTCGGCTCCTGACCTCGCTTAAAACTCTTTTACCTGTACTAAAAGCAGACTCCGAAACAACAGTACTAACCGGAGGTGTCAGCAGATCTTTTGCAATCGCAGATATAACTGGCCAACGTCGTTCATACCTTCTTCAGAATTCAATTATTTCATCTGAATTTTTTTTAATTATTTTAACTGTTGGCATATTCTGGTTGAATTAATCAATTAATTCAGCAAGCAATATATTATGGCTTGAGCCCTTAGATGTATGATGAGAATGAGATACAGATGGTGACGACATGGCAGTGGCAGTGGTAATAGATGAACACATTGCAGATGAATCAAATCTATACGAATTAATGCCTTGAAATAAATTAAATATTTTCGCATCTTCTTCTTCAATTTCAGTGGAAGGAGTAGGTGCAGATGGTACCCGACTAAATTGGTACCCATTCGGTTCGCATATAATTCATACATTTCACATAATGTTTGCTCTAAATTTCTATATGTGATAGGTGTATCAAATGTTAAGACATTTGAAATTTGATCAATTATATATTTAGTTCCCGATAAATTATATCGACTGTCCATCACATATGCTAAAGGAAATAACATAGGCAAATCTTCCCAATATTTTCTAAATTTTAATTCCAAAGCAATTATAATTTCACTAAAATCAGGGTCATTTCTGTATTTATGAAATGTTCTTGCAATTATATAAAGACGTTCAAGCACCATACAACTGGTGGGATAGTAAACGTCCGATAAAATTTTAGTGGTTTCATAAAAAGATGTCAAAATTTTTTTAACTTTCAAAGCTAAATAACAATCACGTTCAGTCAACATACCCTCATCATCACTTCTAACATGTCTATTATTATAAAAGTCAGTTATTAAATATTCAAAACCTTCACATGATTTTAATAATAAGAAAGTAGAGTTCCACCTATGACCTACGTCGCTAACAAATGTTTTTGCATTTTGCACTCCTATTTCGGCACAATAATTCTCAGATGCTTGTTTTCTACTTGGGGAGATTGTGATATATATTAGTGCGTTCCTAATATTTTGAAGTCCATCCTTTATATGTTTTAAACCATCTTGGACAATTAAATTCAAATTATGACATATATAACGAATATGAAACAAATACCCATCAAAATCAGGTTGTAGTACCCTATTCAATTTTTCGGCAACTACTTTATTAACACTAGCATTATCGAAAGTAAATGAACGAATTTTACCTTCGCAATGATATTCTCTAACAATACTAATAATAGCATTAAATATATTATTAGTGTTGTGAGGAAACTCAATAATTTTAAAAGCAATAATTTTTTTATGCATGCACCAAAGTTGGTCTATATAATGTGCAGTTGTAACTATATATGCTCTTTTATTAATTCATTCCCATATATCCGAAGTTAAAGATATGACACCCCCATATTTTTTCAAATCTATAATTAATTGTTGTTTTGTTGAATAAAATATTGTATTGTATCGGAACGAAGAGTGTTTCGACTTACTCCAACGTACCTTGGCTGCAGATATTCTTTCACATACGAGATGTAGTGTTGGTTGTCAATTAATGTCAAAGGCAACTCAGCACCAACAACAAATTTCACCATTCCGGTTCGAACTTTCTCCTCCGAATCACCCATGTGGATAGGGGTGCAGTAGAACCACCGACATCTAGACTGCCAAATTGCAATTGTGTTTGACAGCTTGGAATAAGTCCATGTTTGGCGACACATACTTTGTAATGACGGTTGAGATGTGTGGTACCAATTCCTCTTTGCCATCCAAATTTTTGTTGGCAGTATTTACATATTGCTTTGGATTCTTGGACTTCATTGACGATTTTTCCCGTTGAAATCAACTAAAAGTGATCCCAACATTTTGCTTGTTTCTCCCCTTTTGCTTTCCCCTCACATCAAGAATGTTTAATTCAGTCTCTTCTTCCTGATCGTGTTCCGCTTCGGGAACGTCAACATTATCCAAATTAATTGGATAATTTGGATTGCCGCTTACATGATGATGAAGATTCAAATCTGGAATATCTTTAAGTAGGGGTACATCATTTAGACCTTCAAATTGATTCTGAAATTGACTTTGCGGTGTCATAGGCGATTCGTTTCCTCCCACACTGAACAAATTTTCGACAAATGCACGTGAATCCATTTGTTTAATTGTAATAAGTAATAACTAGTAGAAGAATAATTGTATAAATGTAGTGAGAAATGAAAATTGGATGAAATTTCAATAAATATAGTGAGAAATGAGAATTGGATATTGTATAAATTGTATATAAAAATTGCACAACTATCAACACAATACAAGAGAGTTGAGAGAAAAATAATTGAGAGTTGAGAGTGAATTGTAGAAAATTTTGTGACTAAATACCGCTATTTATAGAAGAAGAAAAGAAAAAAAAATATAAGGACCAAAACGGTCATTGAGTGACCGTTAATGGTCAAAACAAAAAAAAAATTAATTCGGGGACTGAAACGGTCACTGACAGAAGTCAGCGACCGTTGATAAAGTGACCGAAACGGTCACTTTTTAAAGAAAGTGAGCATTTCGGTCACTTTTAAAAACGAGCCCACGAGCTTGGGCTCGTTTATAACGAGCCGCTCGTTTTTTGTGCGAGCCGAGCACCGAACTGGCCCACTTGGCTAGAGCTCGAGCTCGTGTTTTTACGAGCCCGAGCCACTCACGAGCTCCGTTTTCGCGAGCCGAGCGGGAGAGCCGACGAGCCGCTCGACCCATTTGCCACCCCTAGCAAGAATGCAACGGCGATCTAGCAATAGGCGAGCGATAGATTGGACCACACCCCTTCACTTTCTATGTATAGAATCCTTTGAACGTTTATTTGTCATTCCTATCATTCTTTTCATTTCACTTCATCGAAAGTGGTTTTCTTTACGAGCCCGAGCTGCCCACAAGCTCCGTTTTCGCCAGCCGAGCGGGCTAGCCGACTAGCTGCTCGGCTCATTTGCCACCCCTAGCAAGAATGGAACGACGATCTGGCAATAGGCGAGCAATAGATTGGGCCACACCCCTTCACTTTCTATATATAGGATCCTTTGAACGTTTATTTGTCATTCCTATCATTCTTTTCATTTCACTTCATCGAAAGTGGTTTTCTTTGCATAAAACTCATAGTTTGGTAAAGAGAGAATTCCATGCTAGTTCGTTAGTTTGAGCCATTTGAAGTGCTCCTATGCCTAGACATGATCGTTGTATTTTTGGAGATGATTGTCAAGTAAGTTATTATGCAGGGCAAGTTTATCTAAGGACAAAGTGTCAAAACACTTGTCTCGGCCAGTCACATCACTTGCATCTCCTCTTTTTCTTTCCGATTTCTTTCTAACTTAGTATTTGATTTTAAAAATTGACTAACATTTCTTTTGATTTCATGTAAGGTTTGAATAAAAGAATTTAATGATTTTTATTTGAAGAATGGAAAGGATTGAATCCGTCGTCACGTATTCGACTTCGATAATTATCATTTTGCCTACTCAAATCCCATTTTGGTAAGTCGAAACTATGTTCGATTTCGTGCAAGTAAAAGGTATGTTTTGAGAATATAATGTATTGCGTATGCACATTATCAGTGTAACATCCTCAACAGTAATGGTATCATAATACAATCGAGCTTTAAACTCTTCTGCATTTGGCTCCCGACATGATAGTTTCGAAACAGACAGCTGGTGCATGTTCCAAAAAGGGAGAAACCAAGAACATATTAATAAACCCATTTTTATACACTGCAAAACATTAATGACAAAGATATTAAAATTGGGACCCATCTATCCCGCTGAGGTACAAAATACCTTTCTTAATCAGTTAATCACAGCTGAAGCTTCAGTTTTTCTTCTTGAGAAGGGTACTCTTTTAAAAGATTTCAACTTGCCCCTCTGGGTCGACCATCAGGAAATCCTCCAATGCTGCAAGAGATTTTAGCTGTCGGCCAAGAGATGCAATTGTCTTTTGGCACTCTGCAAATTTAGTAGCAGCCACTGTCAATTCGTTGTCCTGCAATCATCATCAAGCCAGATACTACAATTAGAAAGGAAGTTTTAATGCAATGCAAAACTTTTACCAAGCACGTGTAAAAATAGGAATATATGGATTTTATGCACATCGTGCAATTTGAATCTTTATTAACATGGTCCAAGAATGTGTTTGGCAACAAACCTGATTGATTCGGAACTCGTCAATGATTGCTGATTTCTGAATCTGAGAATCCAATTCCTTCCTTAAAATCTCATTTTCTAGTTTCTGACACTTGACAACAATTTCCCCAGAAAAATTCCGTTCTTTCTTAATTTCTTCTTCTAAAGTACCAATGCTTGAATGCAAGGTTTCCAACTCAAGTTCGATTACTTTGAGTTGAGACTCTGCTTCTGCTTTCTTTACCTCAGTAGCCTCAAGTTCCACTTCAATCTTGTGTTTTGATTCGTTTGCAATGATTAACTGTTCTTGAAATTCTACCAGATTAAACTGTGCTTCTTCTAAAAGCTTCTCTGATTTTTTCAGTTTTATGTTTGTATCCTCGACCTCTATCTGAGCTACTCTCTTTGCTTCATTTGCCATAGCCAGCTGAGTTCTCAGGTCCTCCAGCTTCACGCCCGTTTCCTTTAGTTGATCTTGTGACAACTTAAGCTGACGTTGACACTTGCTCAGAGCGATCTCTAAATTTACTTTTTCTGCTTCCATCTTCTCTAAATGCACTTCCAGTTCAGCCGTCCGATTAATCATGGCTTCCAGATCAGCTTTTAAAGGGTTTTCCCCATTCTTGGACTCGGTTTCAAGGTTGCATCCACTTTCTATTTCAGGTAGAGCTGCAAGCCTTTCCATCTCAAGAAAATCATCCATAAGATCAAGATCGACTGAAGGACCAGTGAGGCTTCTTCCGATAGTGTGGCATGCCTCAACCGATCTGCAGCAATCGCTTTGAATAGCCAGCGACCTCTCCCCACTGTCAGTCTGACTATCAGTGGAAGATTCAACATGTACTGAAGATGCTCTACGAGCCACTGCCTTTAGCCTACGACATTCTGCTTCTAGACTAGATATTTTCTTTATGCTTTCCAAATGTTGTTTACTAGCAGTTTCAGCAGCACGGTTGCTCAGGTCTCTCTCATGAGTGCTCAACTTTAATTCTTCAGCTTTGGAAAGGAGCTCGAGTTTAAGGATTGAGTTCTCTTTCTCTGCAGCTTCGAGCTTAAAGCGAAAATCGACAAGCATAGACATAATGGCATCTGTGTTGGAATTTTGAAGTTGAGAATGGAGGCTGGCGAGCTGGTTCTCGAGTTCAGACTGTGTTGATTTCCATTCACAAGTTTTCTTGGCAACGGCTTCATAAATCTTCCCTTCTTGCTCTTCTTTTAGTTGTCGAAGCTGTCGTAAAGACTCCTTAAGGGCTCTATCAAGTGGTCCAACACGTTCTTCAAGTACGGAATTCTTCTGTCTTAAGACTTCAATTTGTTTCTTCAAAACAAACGTTTCATTTTCAGCCCTTTCCCATCCTGGTATTTGAGCTCAAATTAGTATCACTATTGAAATTAAACAAAGAAGAGTCGTATCAAAGAAAATTGGAGTCTCCAAAACAAGCCCTAGAACTGCTTTGTAGTTGATACAACACTGTTAGTGATTGTAATGCTTTCGCCGTGGAAGGGAAAACCCCTCGTTCCTAAGAGCCTAGTTCTTACTATATGGGATACAAGTGCAAACTTGTAGAGATAAGCATAATTTTAATTGCAAATGCCAAACTGAATTCTTTTGAAGAAAATATTTAAATGATACGTGTTATCCATCTCTACCAGCATTTGATAAGCAGGTTTAGATGGTATCAAAGTCAGGCAAAAGGCCTAGTTCAAGTCTCACGCCACCCACCTATAGAAATAGTAAACATGGCGGGTTGAAGATAAAATTTAAATGAATTCATGTGGACCTCTTCTAACGCCTTAAACTATTAAATGAGCTGGTTCATAGCTTCCAACTAAAGTATCAAATGGAGAAGGGGGATTGGGTGAGTGACAGAGAAAGAATAGATTTGATACCCATGACAGCTTCCTCTGCAACTTTAGCATGCTGTTTTACCAAGTCTTCCTTGGCGTGAATGTTTAGAAGTGCTTCTGATAGTTTCTCGGATAGAGTTTTCACAGTATCGTTAAATTCTTCGTCATTGGGCGCAGCTTTCGATGTGACTTCAGTTGATGGAGGGATATGATTCGCCAGTGTCTGTTACAACAACCAAACATCGAGTAGAAATTCTGTCACTTTACTCCCAATCATAAAAGGTTTTCTACCTTCTCTTTGTTTATTTACATTTTATTCTTTTGAGGGTGGGAGATTCAATGAAGAGAGAATGTTGTTTGTGAGGTAAGAATGAGAATAACGTAGAACTCTTCATGAAAGAACGCTCAGTCCATAAATGCATGCTTTCTGAAAGTGTTTCTGTCTGTTGCAAGAGACAAGAAATCTTTCTTTTGCTGGAGGAAAAAAATAATTCCTTTTGAGTTCATTCATAGGTATACATATGTTAAGACAGCACAAAAAATACTGGTGATTAAAGAATGAAAATTGGTACTTTCCATATATATGTTAATAATTGGAGGCAGTATTATTAGTGTTAGCTGGATAGAATGCTTTTCAGATAGGAAAAGGAAGAGGATATGTTGTCCAGCGTGGATATCCACACAATGTGGTCCATTTTTAGTGAAAGATAACATGTCATAATGAACAAGACTATACGACTTTTAGCAATTTTAGCGTTTGAAAATTTTAGGTATTGAATCTTTAGCACAATTCATATATTCGTAAGAAATTCAGAAATAAACATGAAAAATTGTTGAAATCAAAGCCACTTACACCTGAAGCAACCACTTCGTTACAAGACTAGATTCCAGCATTCTTAGCTCTGTTTGGTAGATATTCTTTAAAACTCATTTTTTTGTCAAACTCATTTTTTAGTGGCAGAGTCTCCGAATAAATAATTTTGCTCATGAATCCATAACTTTTCCTCACTTTTCAATCAAACATTTCCCAAAAAAATAAAAAATAATAATAATAATAATAATAAAAATCACAAAATCTATTCATAAAAAAATCTACATGAAACATACACTAAAGTAGAATGAAAGAAAACACAATCCATTTAGAGACTTGAATACCATCAGAAATTGTGGAAACACTCCATAGCATTATAATTGAGTTGAAAATTAACCAAGTCATACTAAACTTATTAGTTAAGTCAATCCCCAAGAAAATAAACAACCCAATTTACGAGTTTCAAATCTCTCAAAAATGTACTGATGAGGTGATGAAATTAACTAACCTGATCGTCGGAGAATCTTTCTGAATGCGATGATAGTGATCCCGAGCTTTCAGTTTCACCACCGGGACTCTTATTCGATGACCTTCTCCTCCACCGCCAACTCATCCGGTCCATTTTTGGAACAAAACTGTAGTTCCCTCGCAATTAGATAAGCTTCATCTGTCGTTTTTTAATCTTAATTTAGCTACCAGAAATCTTACTCTCCTCCTTCATATCAAACATTTTTTTAATTTAAAAATTGGATTACACCTTGAGAATCCTCTAGAAAATGCTTATCAAATGCATAGCCGTGAACAAGAAGTCATTCAATTCACTAACAAATCTCAAAGATCTTGATTATCCAAATAAAGCTATGATGAAGTAACATTACCTTGAGAATGACTAGATGGATACCAGTAAGCAGAAGGAACAACGCCTCTGATTGATTATCGTGTTGTGTGGGAATATTATTATACGGGTAGGAGTAAATGTCTTGAATTTGATAATATTTCTACGTGTTTGACAATAAAAGGTTAGGAGGGAGCGTGTTCATTGAAGATGGAGACTTTCAGACCAAGATTGCGATATTCGCGCGCCTATACAAAAATAGTGGAGAAGTGGGAACCACGTAGTAGCTTACAAGCACTTAGCCAATTGGGTGGAATTTGAATTCTATTGAAAGTTTTTGAAAAAGGAAAATTATCCAGTTCCATACCTTTTACGTTCAAAAATCAGGTATTGATAATATTTTATAAAAAATTATGTGTATTTAATACACCTCCATCCACATCAGCTTAGTGCCGGTTCTTGTTATTTTTTGGGGGCTTGAGGTGAATTTCATAAATTAAGTCCCAAAATTATAGTATGTATAATGGAGTCAATAGCTAATTTGTTAATTTAAAACTTAACAATAAAACAACAAATAAAATGTATTATACAAAAGATTTATATTATAATCAAATAACAAAGCCAACAATGTTTCAAATGATCGGTTAAATACTATTTGTCTTACAATTTTAGATACAAAAATAATAATCAATCCATTCAATCTTTTTTGTGATAGAGTTGATAGGAGATAAGGCATAGGTTAACAAAATTTTATAAGTAATAAAATATTTAAAATGTCTTCAAATTTTATAGCACTTCAATTGCTCTCGTTACTTTTCTTGATATATAGCACCTCAAGACATATAACTTAGAACATAATCATCTCCATTAATATTCGAACGTCATTATGTTCTAGACACTTCTCAAGTTTTGCACAAGGCAAACAAATTGAAAAAAGTTGTACACCTTAACTTTTCCAAATTTAAGAAAAAAAATTCAAATACCTCTTCATATTGTTTAAATTGTTCAAATTGAATTTTAGAAAAGATAGAGCTTGATTAATTATAAAAAGAAAGTATTCAACTATAAAAGATTCTTCAGCCAATTGATTTACCGCATCACTACTAGTTTCATTAAACTACTTCTTTCTTCAAATTATACGTTTTTCTACAACTTCAATTCCCATTTTACTTGCCATATTTGTTCGAAAAATGAAATAGATCCTTGTAAGAGGTCGATAGTACAATCAATATCCATGTTTTCAATTTGAAGAAATTTACTCATAATATTAATTGCATGCAACATGTACCAAATTATCATGTCAAGTAAGAACTCAAAATTTCGAAGTTCATATATTGATAAAGAGTTGATTTCACTTTTTGTTTTAGGATCTTTGTTAATTACTGCCAAGTAAAGTAAAACCTCTCTTATTTTAAACAAATAAATCGAATACTATCTATGTAATGAACAAGTTGAGTAGAATTAAGAAATCACTGCAAAAATGAGTTTGAGAAATCGTAAATCATTTATTCCCTTCTGTTGCTTTTGAATGGGCCTAACTAAATGAAATTCCCACAGTGAAATTTTTTTATTATTTATAAATGGAATGGAATGAGCCTAATTAACAAATTTTTAATAAAAAAATCGTAGTGAACCTAATTTAACCAAAAAGGAAGGGGG